CACCTACAGTGCCTAATTTACTACTTGGCCCTTTACAGAAAAAAAAAAAAAATCAGCTGACTTCTACTCTTTATCTTCTGGGGAAAAGGAAGGTCAGACCCCAGTTCACTTAGCTCCATCACAAGGCATTACCAGTTAAAGTAGGGGAGGCAGATCCGTCACCTGCCTTGATGTTAGGAATAGACCACTGTTCCCATTCCTCCTCCCTGATAGTCAGTGAGGATTCTGCCCATACATTCTTTATTTTTAAGTTTTCATTTGAGGAAATATTAGGATATCACCATGAGATATTTCCACCATAGTAGACCACCACGAAATCACCCATAGTCATCCACCATGCTTCCTTTCCTTTCAGAGCCAGATAGATCATTCTTAAAGGAAACTTCATCACCAGTTCTCTCCCTTTTTGCTCTCTCAATTCAAGGCCATCTCCTCCAAACATCTGCTTGATGTCATCTGGCATTTCACTTTGGAATTTTATTTCTATGATATCTCCCTTCGATTCCAGTCAAGGTTTCAATTTTTTTTTTAAGATTTATTTTTATACAAGAACTGGGGTACAGGCTAGATGCACGGGAGGGTGAGAGGATTCACCAGAGACAGAGCGGGGAACAGAACAGGCAGGCTGACTGAAATACACTGCTGAGGGGAGCAGCAGATGAGTCAGGAGAGGTCTGCTGCGCCATGTGGGATTATCACCGGCCTACTGGGATCGAACCCGCGCTACAGAGGCTGCAGACAGCTTCACAGTGTGGCACTCAACTACCTGCACCACCAGGGAGGCCCTCAACGTTTCCATTTTAAGCTCTCCTCACTACACTGCATTCATCCTCACCATAGCCAACACCATCATTTATAATGTGTTTTATTGGATATCCTGAGTTTGTTGGTTCTTGGTAGTACTCAAAAGGAATAGGATCTCTTTTGTCTTATTTTTAATCCCTAACAATGCTTAACACAATGCCTCACACAATCAGAGATCCACAATAACAATTATGTGAAAGAAAGAACTAATGATAATTTATTCACATGCCCAACACTCCCATCCAACTGAACAATTCAAAATTCTGTGAAGAAACTGACATCTCCCCCGACCCACCAATTGTCTTTGTGTATACCACCTGGCATTCTTTTCCCCTTCTATTCTCATCTACCAGTCTTGAAGGTGAAGTTCAAATAAAACAATCATAACTTATTATGAAAAAATTAAAATAAACCTCTCTGTTACCCTAAAATATAAAATAACAGCTCCAGCTAGACCTTTCCAGAGCCTCCCTGGAGAAACTCAGCTTTCCTATCTCACCCTCTCCTTATACTTAAATAGTACCTAGATGCAACAGTCAGAAGCTTTCCTCCTCTCCTTATACTTAAAGTAGTATGCCTTTATCTAGTTTTCTAATTGTTCTCCCATCAGATGTGGGCTCTACATGTTAAAATCACCTGGGAAGCCTTTAAAATATACTGATGACTGTTTTCCATTCTAGACCAAGGGAATCAGGATCTTTAAATTGGAACCCGGGCATTCACCTTTGGTAAATGGTCTTCTCTGATCTAATATGTAGCCAGAGTTGATACCCACTGTAAACAATGGTGAGCTACCAGAAAGTAAGGACTATAGCTTGTCTCTGCAACTCTAGTTATTAGCAAAAATTAGCAATTAATAAATAGTTGTCAAGCAAATGGACTATGAAGCATAATAGAAATGTAAGGAATAATTTATGTAAGTCTACTCACAGAAGTTTATTAGAAAATGTTGGGAGATAAACGATATATTAATCTAATGACTTCTGGTTAATTGGACAGGTTTGTTTAACCACATCAAGCCCATAAATTGACTAGAACCCCTTCTTACTAAGCAGTTTTCCCAACTGTGGTAAAAGTTGGCCTAAAATGAATATATACGAGCCCTGCAAAAGCATGAACATGAAGGCGGTTCATTAGCATGGTCTCTAACCAAGCCCAAAAGAGCGAGCTCCAATACCCTTTCTCATAATGTAGGTATATTTCAAGGTTGTTATCTCACAACTGTCAACCCCAGTCTCTTCTTGCCTTCTGTTATATAATTTATATTTGAGACTGGCACAAGTTTTTTTTTAATTAATTTGTTTGTCAAATAACACTCTCAGCTCTTTTGTAATTATGCCACCTGTTAGTAGCATCAAGTACAAACATATCTCTTGGTTTTCACCTGTTAATTTGTGCCTCTCCTATACTTAGAGAGCGAAGGATATAATCATAAGATCAGAAAATTGCTGATGGTCAGGAGAGGACGACATGAAGGTGTGCGTGCCTTTGCAGGTAATTGCTCTACAGTGAAATAGTGCCATATGGTGGGAAGCTCACAAAGCAACTCTGGCTTTGAGTTGGTGCCTGTCACCTACTCTGTGTCCTTGGACAGCTCAGCTCACCTCTTTGCAGCTTATAAATCCATCTCAAAAATGGAAAGGAATATGAAAAGTATTTCAAATGACCAACAGAGTTACTATGTTGGTGAACTAAAACAACAGGTGATTAAACACTTACTAAACTATAAACATCTATGTCAATATGCTTACTCCATTCCTTCTGTGAAAACATTGGCTATGCACCTACTGTGTCAGGTACTGAAGTGATACAAATAATGATTCCTGTTACCATAAGTATAGGGATCTTTTGATATTTTGTCATGGTTACTTATATGTGTCAACTTGCATGCCCAGGCATTTGGTCCAGCATTCTGGGTGTGACTATCAGGGTGTTTCTGGATGAAATTAACACTGGTAGACTGATTAAATTGATAGACTGAGAAAAAGAGAATTTACTGTACCTAATATGGGTGGATCTCATCCAATCAGTTAAAGACTTGAGTAGAATCAAAGAAGCTGAGTGAGAGGAAAATTCTCTCTGCCTCATTGCATTGAGCTTGCACATTAGCTCTTTCCCTGTCTTCAGGCTTCAACTGAAGCATTGGGGCAGGAGCCCACAGTTTTCAGACTGGAACTACACCATCAGTTCTCCTGGGTCTCCAGCTCCGTGTGTGTGAATGTGTATGTTATGTGAGAATCCTATTGGTTCTTTCTGTGGAGAGCCTAGCTGAGATATTATCTCTAGCAATATGTCCTTTTCAGGAACTTCAGAGATAGTCTTTTTAAAATAAAATGTCTTACTTTACTGGAAGTGTTTCTAGTGCATTCACTAGACAGACTTGTGTAAATCAGTGATTAACAGAGTCAGTCCACAAACTTAAAAACACTGATTCCCAATCCTGAGACCAGATGTTCTGAATCACCACCTTAAGTGAGAAAAGCCCAGAAATTTGGACTTTCAATGGTCTTTCAATGACTAACCACATTTGGGAATTAACAATCTAAGAGACTTGATTTAGGGAATAATGAACTGTGGACCTATCCTGGTATCTGAAATTTCATTACCTCAAGTGCATATGGTTGATTTCTCTCTCATCCCTTCTTAAATGCAGATAAGGTAGAGAGACAAGGCTTTTAGCAATAAAGTTAGGATATATTTATCCTGAATTCAGTTCAGCTTTACTGTTCTTCCTAAATCCAAACACCTTTGGGGTATCTCCAGTGCCTACATAATAAAACCCAATCTCTCATGAATTCATCTGAGTCCTACCAAAATTTGCAGTGGCATAGGTGTTCACCACAGTCACACACATACATCTTATGGCCCAAGCCACAGAGATGGACTGAGTCCCTTTTTGATGCCTTCCGTTGCACCAGTTCTCACCTCCATCTGGTGGGCTCTGTCATTCCAAATATTCCTCCTCTAGCTTTTGTCTCCAAAGGCATTTTATTCATGTGACTTCTCTATGATGTGTCCCCAGACACCACAATAAGGCACACAAAAAGGTTCAAATATCAATATATTAACAGAGGTGATTGACTTGGTCTCTCATTTTTCCTGCACGGCTATCAAAAGGAAATGAAAAAATCAGATGTTTAGCTACACAACAGACATGACACACAGAGAGGGCCCAGAGTGTAAGAAAGGCAGCACAGAGTGTTGGTTAGACACGAGAGCACTGAAGAGACACATCTGGGCTTAGTTCCTGCCGCTCCTATTTACTAGTGGCATGATGGCTAAGCCACTTCTCAGTTTCTTCATCTACACGTGAGGATGATGATGCTAGTATCTACCTCACAAGGCTGTGATGAGGATTAAATAGGCTAAGCTACATCCTCAGAATATATCAGATAAACCAGCTAATAAATTAAACTTGTTATTAGCTTTTTCTTATTATTTTATCAAAGTTTTACCTGAGCACAGGTCTGGACAATGGAAGATTCCTGATTCATAGTTGAAAAGAAAAGTGGGGGAGCCCTCACGCTAACTTATCGCCAGAGGCATTTCCACTTCTGAAGGGTATTCACCTTACGGGAAAAAAGCTAAAGAGTTATATCCTCGTCTTCCACGAGTTGCCATTCTTTCCTGATGAATTTCCTTAAGGAATATAGATCCACAGGAGATTTATGTGCATGCTCTGTTTCCCAATAGTTAAAGCAACTTATTTGCCACCACTAAGCATTCATTCTTTTCCTGGAGGTCAATTCTCAAGGTGCCACTCCTGTCAAGGGCAAGACTGATGGAGCAGCACTGCTAAGCTGACAGCTACCACAGGGAGACCATCTTCCTCTTTGTCTCTGGACTGGGAGGAGAAATAGGCCAAACTCTGAAACCACCCTTGAAACTGAAATGTGACCTTAGATACCAGTTGATCCCATTCACTGCCCTGAATATGACAAAGCAATGGCCTAGATGAGGGGAAATAACAGAATAAAGTGCAGAACTGTAGTTGCCAATGGTCACATGTTTGTAACAAAGAAGCCCTGTCCTGACTGAACAGAGAAAAGGAAGGGCGATGTAATGAGGTTTTCAAATAAACAAATAGGTTGAAGTTTTTAAAAATCTGACATTAAGTTCTTCATACTTTTATATTCTTATTACTTTTCTTTACAGAATAAGAATGACAATCAACTTTTTATATTTCACGTTCTTACCTGGGTAAATAGAGATTGATGATTCTATGTCCTTCTCCACTGTTCTGTTGCTGTTGTTTGGTTGTTTTTTCAGTCTACAAAATCTCCAGGAGTTTGGGACTCTCTGATGTCAAGATTGAGGAGTGAGGGCTGTGGAATCAGAAAGACCTGAATTATTATCTTTATCCTTCTTTCAAGTTGGACACCTGCAAGCGATTTAGTTAACTGCTCTGTATCTCTAAAATGGCAGCCATAACAATCATGCCTACTTTATGGAATTGTTGTGGGATGAGAAGAGATACCAGATGGCTTGTGGTTAGCAGTGGGCCTAGCAGAAAGATGGTGAAGGTTGGAGCTTAAATAAGTTTTCCAGAATTCAACCATGTAGATAAAATGCTAAGATGAAGAGTAAATTCAGGAAGAACTAAGAAGCATTTAATTCCCCTAAGCAGGATTCTTCCTGAGATGTAGATTGTCTGCTTTGAGGACTGCTACAGACAAACAGGGTTTGTATGTTACTAATCTGAACCATTTTCTAGTCTAATAATTTTAAATTAAGTCAGCTAACTTCTTGAACCTGTTTCCTCATATAGTAGAATACAATCTCCCATTATAGAACATTAATGCATTAGGCATTTTACACACATTGTTACTTAACTTACACAGCAACCCCACAAAACAGATAGTGTTAATGATTGTTATTTGCATTACTTCTGTCCTATAAAGTTGCATGATATCTGAACTGTTGCTCCAAAGGGAAGAACAGGGTGAGGTTTCTGTGAGCCTCTGATACATTTTCACCCAGGAATCAACACACAACATTATTATTTGTATATTTCTGTTAAAGAGGCCTTATTTAATATGTATTATTGATTCATTAACATTAAACTCATAGCCAGCAGAACTACAATTCTCCCCGGAATGAAACTTTTCCAACACATGTATCTTTTCCAGAAAGTACATCACAGTCTTCTTGTGCTTAGGGGCACAGGAGAGCTCTCAGCATGGCATTTGGGGCCATGCTGAACAATGACATCACCAGCAAAATCTCAAAAATGTGTGACACGTGGCATTAAAAAAATGTGTGACACGTGTCCTCGCAAAGGACACTTGTTCACATTTATGAGCCATGAAACAGGAACAGAGAGCTTCGCTTGCACACATGAGCATTGGGCAGCTTCCTGTTGCTCTGGGCATATCTGCTAATGACCACAAGAGTGCCACAGATATTGGTTACAGATAAATTTTAGTGAGTTGTTGCATTCACAGATACAGAATCTAAAAAACTAAAGGTTAACTCTACTATTCACAGGAAAGGAATCTATTGCTCATATAATTTATGACATACTACTAGTTTGTGGCTAAATTGATTTAAAATTGGGTGTCGGTGTCACCAAAGACCCACGTTCTATCCATTCCTCACCCCAGCAGCTTGCCCTGCCTGTGTCCCAGTATGAAAAAGGAGGTTTTGCATAGCTCCCTCACAGAAGGATGGAGGAGATCAAATTAGCTGACAGTGTTGAGGATGCTTTGGAAACTGTAGAGCATTATACACATGTAAGCAAGTGTTACAAATAGGTTCACTTAGAGCGAAGTTGCGCTACCTAGAATTAAGGCCGAATGCAATGAACTTCATTCTCCCACAGCAGAAGAGAACAAGAAGAGAACTAGGACCTTGAGAGATTCATGACTGGGTAATCCTTATCTCAGCAAGCAATGAGAAGCCAGTGATTCAAGCTAATTCAGTGCAGCCTCAGTGGGATTGCTTTTCTAGGGTTCTGAGAACAAAAGAAGTACTCACAGAATATTTTAGCTATAAGATCAAAATGCAGATTGTATGCAGTATAAAAAAGTGTTTCTGATGTCAAGTTCACTTATAGTTGCCGCTACAAAAATCCACCACCCAGGGCCATATAAAAATCAACAGCAGTAGCATTAGGCAGCAATGCAGATATTGATGAATGGGAGGTATTGTCTCAAAACCCATCTCCAGCTACTTGCTGTGTTTTAATGAGGGAGGGGGCTTAGAGTCCAGAGGCTCCATATTAATTACAAAGGGTATTTAATAATTGAGGCCAGAATCATCCATATAAGATCTAAAGAATTAACCACTTCTTATAAAAGGAATTGGTAAAGAGGGAGAAAAAGGACTTAAAAATGTTTATACCCATGAATTCCAAATCAAGAAAGCTAATAAAATGATCACATGAGAAAAAGCACTGAAACACAGAAAGTATTTGTTTCTTATTTTTTAGCTTTTATGAGTAATAGGGAATTGGTCTAAAAATTATGATACATCCATACAATAAAATACTACATGCAATTAAAAATTATGTTATAAGAATTGCTAACATGGGAAAAATATTCAAAGTACAGTATTAAGTAAAAAATAAAAGCAAAAGCAGGATACCAAAAAAAAAAAAAAACGAATTGAATTGTGTTTGCGCATATGTATATTCCTAAAAATTAAAAAAAAATTGGATGGAAATATGTTAAATGTTCACAATGACTGATTTCTTGTTTGTGAAATGAGCAGTTTTTATTGTTTATGAGCAGTTTTTATTCATTTCTTTTATTTCCAAAGCTTTTACCATAAATATATACCATTATTATTTTTAGATGGGGAGGCAAAGAGTATAATGAAAGTACAATCCAATTTGCTGTCACACTCCACACCAAAAGACTGCTTTGATGAACAGAAGCACAGATTAAACAAGATTTAGCCTGTTCATCTAACAGGTCACTGATCTGTAAAAATATCAGATGTTTTCAGATTTTTCAAATCATTTATTATTAAGCAACTAGTTGGACTGTAGCCAACTTAATTAAACAAAGAGCATGAGATGGCCCTATCCCCAGAACAACTCCTGAGGGCTGGGACTCTCCTCTTTTTAACTTTCTACTGCCACAGAGCTGACATTCAATAAAAACATATTGAAAGAAAGAAAACATTGGGGAAAGGCTGCCATAAAATCACAATGCAGAAGCTATCTGTCATGTCTTTCATTTGTTCTTTTACTCAATTCAAAGTTTTATCAAGCACTTACTATATCCATCCATCCATCCATCTATTCATCTACCTACCTACCTATCTGAGTAGGGATGAACAGCCTTCAAGAAAGCTATAGATAAAATGCTAAGAGAATTAAGAAGCTGGAAGACTTTCTCCAGGTAAGAAGTTCAGAGAAATATTCCAGGAAGTGTTAGGGTTTAAGCTGGGTCTTGAAAGATGGAGAGCATTTAGACATGAGTGTGGAGACGGCAGCTCACTTGAATTGATGACATGGAGCAGAGTCATGAAGGGGAGGATTCATAAGGCTTAGAGAAAGCAAGAAATGTTTCCACTTGGCAAGAGATGGAGACTTCAAGGAGGTGTGGAGGAGAGGCTGAAGCAAAGCCCTGGGGCCTGGTCATGAGGAAGGGTTCTGAATGTCATGTTATGATTTACTGTCTCTCTTAAAGGAGAACAATGGAAAGCCTTTGTGCAGGAGAGTGACCTGTTCAGAGAAATACTTTCTGAATGATACTTTGGGAAGCAATTGGTAAAATTGATGTAAAGAGGGAGGCAGGAACTGAAATGGGGCAAAATCCCCAGGTAATAACTTCCAGTGATGACTGGGAATATTCATCCAGTTTAAGCAGCTGGAAACTCAGCTCTTATTTCTTTAATCACTAGGACAGTTCCAGTTCTCTGCTGCTGGATTTTCTTTAACTTGAGATGCTAAGGACCAAGCTTTACAGATAAGTTTAAACACTGATCTCAACCACATCCCCTACCCTTCCTCCCCTCCAGAAGCAGCTGAATTGATTTGCAAATATATGCAGATACATGCGAATAACAAAGCCATTAACATGTGCCCTAAGACTCAAAGGGAAAGGTTTGCTTTGATCAAAGCTCATAATGGGATATATCCAAGGGGCAGAAAAACAATATCCTAGGCCCAAACAAAGGCAGGTTTAGAGAGCAGAATGCTTGGCCAGTAGCTTCTATTCAGTCAATTATTAAAGCGGGCACATGGTTTCCCCTTCTACTTCCCCTTTTCCTAAATTTGGAATTGCTGTTGAAAAGCTTACCTCACTTCAACTATCAGGGTTGTTGTTTTCTTTTTTTTTTTTTTTTTAAAGATTTATTTATTTACTTATACAAGCACTGGGTACAGTCAGAAGCGCAGGAGGGTGAGAGAATTTGCCAGAGCCAGAGTGGGGAGCAGAACAGGCAGACTGAGGAAGTACACTGCTGAGGGGAGCAGCGGGTGTGGCAGGAGAGGGCTGCGCGCCATGTGGGACCCTCACCAGCCGGTGGCTGGGGATCGAACCGGTGCTGCAGAGGCTAAAGGCAGCTTTGCAGTCCAGCGCTCAACCGCTGCGCTACCGGGGAGGCCCATCAATATATCAGGGTTACAAGTAGGCATAAAAGTGTGTGTGGTATGTGGGGGTGGTGGGGGTTAGAGGCAAGTGCACATTATATACTGCATCTGACCCTCTAAACTTTGCTTCTCAAAGTGTGGTCCATAGACCAGCTGCATCAACATATCTATTTTGGGAATATTAGGAATGCAGAATCTCTAGCCAGATTCTAGAACTAATGAGTCAGAGTCTACATTTTAGAAGATGCCAGTGATTCCTGTGATAACATATTCCTTATGATAACATAAGAAGCACTCATCTAAATGACCTAAGCATCCATAATTATGATCTCTAAAGGCCAGGAATATTTCTTACTTAATTTCACATTCCCCAGGAGCAATGCATGACACGGAACTGGCAGTCAATCAAAATAGTTCTCTCTTCCCTTTTTTGTAAAATGAAATAATAGCTATCTCAGTGGCTACCACATGGAGTAGATGGAATATTAAATGTAAAATATTCAATCACAATGTCTGGCATGTGTGTTTGTATGTATGGGGAGAGGGTACCCAAAGTTTTTTCATTCCCTTCTCATTCCTATTTCCTGTTAACAGCTATTGTTGAACTGAACACTAATAACTAATGCTGAGCATTTTGTATTTTCTAAAACATCATCTAATCTTCATGTGAGCCAGCAAGAATTGCCAGTTGTGCCTCACTAACCAGAAAACCAGGATTCAGAGAGGTTGAAGGGCTGTGTTAAGTCATAAGATAGGCAGGGCAGGACTGGAATGTGAAACAGG